CGGGGAAAAAATGCTGTAAACCACTTGTTACGACGCTACATGCACTCTCTTAAAAAATGCTGGGTTGTTTAAACCCAAAGTTGGGTCAAATATGGACGAACCCAACTATTGGGTTAAACATTTAAATATAGGACTTAACCCAACGGTCCATATTTGACCCAACTTTAGCTTGAAACAACCCACAAATGTCACTCCATAAAATATAAAGCTTACAACTTGACTCATACTTGCTTTCAATCATTTGTTGATAATGTTCATGTTCAATTATTCATCTTATTTTATGCATGCATGCATATTAGTGTCACTACCTTTAATTATCACTATTATTATGTATACCCATGTTCATGTCACTATTTCTATTTTACAGAAAACCAAAACCCCTCATAAACACACCCATCTATACCATCTGATAATTAATCAGAAAACGAGTGCTGACAATAAATGAGTTATTCCCAAAAAACAAATCTCTAACCGGACAGCCTTTGGAGGATCAGCATCCCTGAGCCGGCTACTCATCTTTGGTAAAGAGCTACTAAGAGCCAATATTTTTTTTTTTTCATACACTCTAAAAATGCTGTTTTTTTTAACCAAACTTTTGGTCAAATATGGAGAAACCCAAATGTTGGGTTAAAAATGTAATGTAAAAATTGAACCCAATGGCTGGGTTTGTCCATATTTGACCCAAAGTTGGGTTGAAAAAAACAAATGCGGCATATGTCATTGTGTCGCTATGTTATTGATATCGCGATATGACACTTTTTTTTTATCACATAAAAATTTATATTGGTGTTATCGTGGATGGTATGATATGGCAGTGATATTGAGTGTAGCTTTTCAACAGGAATAATTTCATTAATCAAAGCCCTGTTGTTTTGATATCCATATTGATCAATGAGCAAGCACTGATGCTTGCTGGGTTTAGTTTGACAAAAGAATGTTTCTGTACGATTTCTACACATTTTTATACAGTAGTATATGTTATTAGAACATGGTGCTAACCTCATGAATGAAAATATAATGTAATCTGAGTTATTTTGTCATATCTAAAATAATGTCAGATTCTCCGACTCCTTTTTCTTTAGCAACCAAGGAAAATACTTCCTTAAAGTTGTGGGTTTTTGGAAGATCTTTTGTGTTCTTGTGAAAAACAAATTGTGTTTAATTACAACAGCTGTGAATTTGTTATGAAAGTTATTACTTCATTTATGCTGTTTATCTCTTTTTATTGTGTTTTATTTGATTTTATATTTTTCTGTTACTTTTATTGATAAAGGAAAGTCCCCATTTCATCAAATGCTTTTACTGTGAAATAATGATACTTGTTGCATCTGCTCAAAGTCTGTATGAAGCAAGTTTAAGTTTTGATATTTTTTTTATATAAATACTTGGCAGCTTATTTTTCTGACAAGGAAAATGTTTCTCATTTCCCAACAAGAAAAGGAATTATAAATGTGATAATGTCAATAAAAACAGATCTGATTGTTCTATATTGACTAGAATCTTTCAGTTTGTCATGCAATTATTGAATTTGTTATCAGAAATAACTCCACAGAATTCATCTGTAATGAGGTGTGCTGTGCTATTTTACTGTGCGACATCTTTCCGATCAGGAGAAGCTACGCAAAGGTCCTAAAGATGGCGGCCGCAACAAAAAAAGTCACGTGACTGAAACCCATGAATATAAAGTTTTAAAAAACACAAGCAGGTTATAATTGGTGTGTTTTATGTCATAGAACAAAACGTGAAAATATTACGAGACTTGTTCACCACAGACCTTATTTCAGGCGATTTAGCAAAAACCCATTAAAAAAAAAAACCCATAGACTTTAGAGCGAGGGAACCGGAAGTGCTAAAATGCTAACCCACTTCTGCGTTTTGGCCTACAAAATGCTGGAACTTTATTCCAGAAGAGTTTAATAGAGAATGTATATATAGGCCAATCCACATAAAAGGAAAATCATGAGATGGAAAAATACATGATTATACATTTCTTTAGTGGTTATATAATATAGAATGTATGGATTAAAATGGTTTATTATTCAGCAAGATCACACAACTCGGCAAATTCCTTATGGATCATAAAATTTATATCAGTCCTAATGTGTCTTGTATCAGGACAACAGGTTCTGCCCGTGTGTTAGTTTCGTTTGGGATGTTAGTTTTGGGGAAAGTTTCAAGTTATCTATGGTGAGGGGAATGAGTTAAATAAATGTAATCAAGGCGAGCGTTTGTGCTCATAAAACGTTATTTATTTTTTAAATGAGCGATCGTTTCGCTAGATAAGACCCTTATTCATCGTCTGGTTTTGTTTAAAGCCCTTTGAAGCTATAAACCTTCAGCCCTTCATTTTACATTTGATTACCTTATTCAGTTTCTGTAGTATTTCTGTATAGGCTACTTACTAGTGTTAGACCTTTTGCAGGTCAAGCTTCAGGCTTGAAATCAAGCTTCCCTGTGCTAAGTGAACTCTTAACAAAACGACCCAATTGTAAACTCGCAATGAGTGAGCAAACATTTAGGTAAGATAAATGTAATAAATTAAAATATATAGGCCTATCCTCATTATATCATTATCGCAAATATTCTTGAAATATCGTGATATAATTTTGAGGCCATCCCCCACCCCTAGTTAGGACTAATCATAAAATAATTAAAAATCTTAAATCAGATTTCATAGTGCAATTATTTTGCAGATATCTCGAATTCTGATTCAAATTAAATTCAGCCTATGATTTTTCGAAATAAAATTGTGAAACAATCCAAAATATTTTATGGATAGTCAAAACATAGTTGTGTAAATGCCAAAATGGCTTGCCATACCACCAACTTTGGCCGCGTGCCGCTATGCTCCCGTGACGTCACACGCTCTCGCATCTCGGCAGGGAGCGGGATTCATAAATTTTGGGGCATCTCGCCCGGGGGTCGGGGTTACGTCCCGATTTTTCGTTTTGGCTGTTCACATTACCTTTTAAGATGTGACCTATATCTGATTCCAATGTGAACTATTTGCATGTTTCAAACTAACCCACATGCGCAAAAGAACAACAATGACATACGCACTTAAACAATATTTATATTTAATATTTATAGATAAACAATATGAATGTAAGCCAGAGGAGAACTGGCCTCCGACTGAGCCTGGGTTCTCCCAAGGTTTTTTCTCCATCCAATCAGATGGAGTTTTGGTTCCTTGCTACTGTCTTGCTTTTGGCTTGCTTAGTCGGGGTTCTTAGTATTTAATATTTAACAATATTATTGATCTGTGTTGTACTACTTTCATGTTATTACTGTGAAGCTGCTTTGATACAATCTGTATTGTGAAAAGCGCTATATAAATAAATGTGACTTGACTTGACTGTACACAGCACACTGTTGCACTAATGTTCGTGGTAAGTAAGCATTTACGCTTTTATTTCTAAATGTCTATGTAATGGAAGCTGTAAAATTAATGAGCAGGTGATGATGAGGAGAAGAATGAAGAGAAAGAAAGCAAAATTGGCTATTTTTAATTAGCCCATATATTAATTAGGACTAACACCACACTCTCCCTCCATTGACTCGCTCCATCACTGTTCTCCATATGTATTCAAGTTTTTAATGTTACTGTCTGTGTCTGTTGTGTCTAGTGCTTATACTCGCCGGCACATAATTGAACGGGGCCTATGAATGTGGTCTAAATCTGATTTAAAAAGATCAGATCTGGGCTAGATTTGAGTGTTCACACTCTCTGAAGAACTCTGACCTGGTCACTTTACCCCCAAAAAATCAGATTTGGGCCACTTTTTTCTGCAGTGTGAACGGGGCCTTTGAAAAAATGCTTCATTTGCTTTCATATGAAGCATTTTTAACTCAACTCCAAAGGAACATGCTAAAAAATGTTTATAATGATAAGAAAGAACCCTTTTAGCACAAAGTTTCTTTATAGGCTATTATTCATTCATATATTACATTATTCTGCAACATTATAGTTGTAATTCAGTTATTGTTTATTAAACTGTTGTAGTAACTTAATGTTACATTTTAATCATGCTGATTTTTGGAGAATAAAAACTGAAATGTCACTCTTTGTGTGATATTGATTAATTACATTTTTTAATTCCCATATCTTGCATTTTGTTCATTCACGTGAATTGCATTTTAGGGGTTCCAAATACGTAGCGCTTTAGAACCTTTTAAGATTCTATATAGAACCTTTTCTTCTAAGAGTGGTTGTTGGTAAGGGGGGGTGTTAAGGGAAAATTTATATATTGTTGAAAACATTGCATTACAAAATTGTGTATAATCATGTGTATTGACATGATTAAAATCTTGCATTAAGGCCGGTTTCTATTTCATAATTCCACCTGTGTAATATCTGTATTGAGTCTAATTAGTCGTTACTGCTTGAATCACCTTAGAAAGAAGAAACATGAACTGGTTTGCTGGAGTTTAATAGAAGTTTACTTTTCTACAATACAATAAGTAGGCCTAACTTTATCGAGGTAAAAGTTTCCCCGCTGTCACGAGACGTAGATCTCGGAGTGGAGAAAAGAGTGACAAAATCACGGTAAGGCTGTGCAAACAAAGCAAGGCTATCTGACTAGCATTGCCATGTCAGTGTATTGATTGATTCATTGTCCCTTAATAGTTTGTACGAGACATTTCAGGTTGGATGTATTTTATAAACTGAGCGAAGCCTATTCATCTGTTAATATGAAACGCGACTTGGCCATTGTAAATAAGGCTACAGCACATCTTGTACCCATGGTAAGCTAGGTAACGATAAACAAACTGAAAGACAGCAATTACAGATTTCGCTTTCGTTCACTAAACAAAGACTATGGAAATTAAACATCACTTTCCATAAAAAAAAAAAAAACGTGTTATAAAAAAAATAACTTATTATATTTAAGACCTAGGTTCGCCAGCTAGTTCTGTGCCTGCCTGTGCACGCTATGGGGCGCGGTCACCCTGGTCGACGAGAACCCGCATGTGACGCAGGACGTAACCCCGCCTCCTGGGCGAGTTGCCCCATTGCCCCAAAATGTATGAATCCCTGGTTCAGCCCGGGGTTCAGCAGGGTGCGGCACAGAAACACTCAGAGAGAAAAAAAGGACTTTAATAACTCAACGGATCATCTACTATCCAACACTCATCTCTACATCAACATGAAGAGCGCACTTATACATGTTCTCTTCTTATTATGCGCGACCTGTAAGTGGTTTTATTTAACAACTGCAGCGATTTCGTTTTCTACACACCGGAAACGTTCATTCTTTTCAATATGTTCTGATTTTTTGAATTTCAAAATGTAATAACTGTGAGCACTAACTGCGACATATTTTGTATAGTGCACAATAATGACTAATGATATTTTAGTCGAAGTAATATCCAATGGTAGTCACTGGTAGTGTACAGGCCTTGTTGTTTTCAACACATGGTCGCAACATGGTTGTGTTCCAATTAATCTAATCTAATTTATCTAACTCAAACATGTTGCTATACTCATTTGTGTGTAATTGTTATTAAGAGTGAGTTATGAGTTTGGGTTCCTCAAATGCATTTATACGTTGTTGTTGTTAGTTGCCACATACTATTTATATCACTTTTAGGCTATATGCATACATGTACACTTCATACATGATGGGCATAAACAGAACAGTATTGTCTCGGATTTAATGCAGACTGCAGCAAATCATGCGAGATTTATTGGTCATTCGGGAAGACTCATGAGTGTTTTATGTGTTTAATTTCTGACTGTCTGTTTCTGTTTGTTCTCCAGGTGTGTTTGGTGATGCAGATATAGTAGAAACAGTGTCAGCCATTGAGGGAGAGTCTGTTACTTTACTTTCTAATTTTACTAAAATACAGAAGGATGATGAGATAGAATGGAGGTTAAATGAAAAGCACATTGCTGTAATTAGTGGTGGCTCCATCACTACTAATGGGGCATTCAGAGACGGACTGCAGCTGGACAAACAGACTGGAGATCTCAAGATCACAAACATCAGAACCACAGACTCTGGAGAATATAAACTAAATATCAAAAACACCAGAGGGTCCTCAGTGCAGACATTCAGTGTCAAGGGTGAGTGTCTCAGTTTTTTAATTTAACAATTGGTTACATAATTAACACATTATAAACCATTTAAATTTGCCAAATTTTTTTGTAAGAGCTGTTAAATGTTACTGGCAAACGGTTGTTTATACCAAAAATGTATGAATTCTGTTTTATTTATGAATAAAATATTTGTCGTTATCTGACAAGAAAACTGACAGACCATTTAAAGGGATAGTTCACTTTGAAATAAATTTTTGATATTTTTTATCTTACCTCAAGGGCATCCGAAATGTAGGTGTCTTTGTTTCCACAGTATTTTCAATTTCGATATTTTAAGGTCAAACCGTTGTTGTCTGTCAGTCATATAATGGAGGTCTATGGTCGCCACCTCAAAGAGCATGCACAGAGAAGTCCAAATTAAACATGATTTAATGACACGTAAATGTAAGTACACATTGATAGCCTAAGACACGAAACGAGCGGTTTGTGTGAGAAAACGAACAGTATTTATATCGTCTTTTACCTCCAATGTCCAACTGAACCGAACTGAACTGTGTCCAACGTTACGTGGGAAGTGATCGCTTGCGTGTGTACGTCACTCATTGTTTACACAGAGATTTTGGAAGGTTTACCTTTCACTAAATATATTTAGATATATCGAAATCGGCTTCCATTGCGATTTCATGTATATCTAAATATTTTTAGGTCTTCACAGTGAAAGGTAAAACTTCCCAAATCTCTGTGTAAACAAAGAGTGACGTACACACGCATGTGCAGACAGAAGCGCCCGTGCTGTCAGATCACTTGGACGTGGCTGTGGTTACAACATAGACATATACACTAGACCTCACCTTGGATACGGCAGTTCATTAGAACGAATGCGTCAATAGAGCCGCCATCTTGAAACAGGGGAGCCCCTCCACTTTAATGCATCAGCGTCAATGTAGTAGACACAGGTCTAACGGAAAAAAATCACCATAACTCATCATGAATGCGATTTTTCTTGTTTTTTGGTTTGTTCCAACGGTCAGACATGTATTTATCATTGATTCCAGAAAGAAAAAAAAAAATTCAATTTTTTTTTTTTTTTTAAAACATTCTTCCTAGTTCAGATTTCATCCGTGAACATCATACGCTGCACAAAAGTCCGCCACCATCAATGAATTAGAAGTAAAGGCAATCTAGCTACTTCCTATGACAAGACCCCTGTTCCAAGATGGCGGCGGTTTTGACGCATGCTTAGAACCCCCAGGTGAGGTCTAGTGTATATGTCTATGTGGTTACAAGAGGTAAAAAGTTACGATATAAATACTGTTCTTTTTCTCACACAAACCGCTCGTTTCGTGTCTTGGTTAACATTATGGATTAAAAACGACCGTTGTATGATCTCATGTATCAGTGCTGTGCGAGCTCTCAAGAGCTCCGGCAGCTGACGTCACGCAATCTAAACTCCGCCATTTTGGCAGGCAAATCAGGAGAGCGCCAGCGCGGCTATGTTGAATGATTTAAAGTCTACATAAAATTTAAAACCATAAAATTTCTAAATGACTTTGGGGAATGTTTAAACTGTTGATTAACCCATTTAATCCCACCATAAAGATATAAAAGAATAATTGTACAATAGTGTAAGTAGGCCTAAAGATATTATCATTATCCCATAAAACACAATGTTTCACACACTTTCCATAAATGGTTTTTCTTTTTCTTTTTTTTATTGATTATTTCAATGGACAACTAATGACACATCATTACAATATTTTCATGTCTGGGAAAAATTTGGGAAAGTCAAAAAAAGACTTGAAGAGACTCCCTTCACCAGTAATTTTCTATGACCCTCCAAAACGATTGTGAAAAAAGCATGACCCTCCCCGATAATTTATTGATTACTTCTGTACTGGTTTGCGCTTGGCAAAAATGTTTAGATAGCGTTTTTTAAATTTTTTTTACAACTAACAAACGACTAAACTCCTGCTTTCTCATTCTACTAAGGCTGTAACAAAATACCAAAATTCGGTTCGTATCATGATTTTTTTTATTTTAGATTTAAAAAAATAATAATAGTAAAAAAAAAAATCACGTTTCAAGGGTGGCGCTCCAAAGTATCAAAAGCTGCAAAGAATCGGCAAAGGTAATGATTATAGGCCTATGTCAAATATAGCAAGGAGACATTTGAATTGTTTATTATTAAACAAGGTTTTTCTGTGTCAGTGTGTCATCTTCAAGATATGAAGTTGCTGACTCGCGATCTTCACACAGTAACGCACCAGAGAGAAATGCGCACATTTCATATGGATTATTACATAAGCATGCAGAGATCATGTTTTTCTTTTTTAAATGTTCTGTTTTAAAAGTTGACATCACGCTTTCTATACATTTATTAGGTTTGTGAGGCAAGTAGCCTAGCAACATTTACGGTGAGTTTCGGTTTATTTATGAGAGTCCAGTTCACGTGCAGGATCTGTTTCTTTTCCATCATCTTCTACATTTACGTCTTATTTATTTAATCAAGGCGATTGGTTGATGAAACATTAATTAAAATAAGATAGGAATTGTATAAGATACAATTAGGCTACTTTAAAGAAAGGCTGTGCTTTCTGAAGTCTGTGAAAGTTTTAAAGTCACATTCACATCGGTCTATAATGGAGAACTGGCATGTCCGTTACATTTTTTTCCCCTCATAAATGCACGAAAAATAAAATAAATAAAAATATTTTATGTTCTGTGAAGGCTGACTCTTCTTCCTCGTATTAACCTACTTTCAGGAAAACTATCAGTTCCTTTATCAATACACATGAAAAGCACCCCGGGGGCATTATAGATCTACATAGAGTATACATAGCTTATATGTATTTTTGAATTAAAGTGTGTTGTGAACTCCGTTGCCTTGAAACTAAAGCTGCCGTCATTCATTCACGTCCCGGTCCCTGACCGCCTTGCCTTCCAATGTGGCGGGTTAAACAGAGTAGGTCACGTGACGTCCGGAGCGCTTCACAAACAGACTCGCGTACACAGAGAGAGAAGATATTTATAATATAAAAATTGACAGGCAAAGTTTGACAGGCTTGCTTGTGTTTTCTTTGTCAAAATGTCAAAGCTTTTTGTCTTGTCTATTCGTGTTTTTACAATTAGTTAAGCGACGGACGCTTTACTATTAACCCGCATTATATATGACGGATTCGTCTTATTTGAACAATTATATTATTGGTCATGTGACAGGACTCCTGTCTATTCATTGTTAACTGTTTCTATAAATATATTTGGATTGGCTAAAGTTTATTCAGCTAATGCATGTCCTGTTTATAATGTGTATGTTCAAATGCAAAGAAAGCACAAATATAAGTCAAGTCAAGTCACATTTATTTATATAGCGCTTTTCACAATACAGATTGTATCAAAGCAGCTTCACACTGATAACATGAAAGTAGCACAACACAGATAAACAACATTGCTAAACACTAAATAACCCCAACTGAGCAAGCCAAAAGCAAGGCGACATGCAGGCGACAAATATAAGCCCTTTCCCTGTAGGATTTAATATCATATTTGGATATTGGAATAATCAATTAAGTAGCCAATTTAAAAAAAATAACATGTACACGTTTTTTTTTTTTTTTTTTTTTTTTTTACTGGTATCTAGGGTTTTTTAAATTATTTTAGACTAATTGACCAGCACAGATTATATGCAATACAATACTAATCAATCATGAATAAAGAAATGGAGTTGAGTAGGTTTGAAACTTTGTACTTTCACTGTTGCATTGCAGTGCAAGTTAAATTTAGTATTTGTGTCAAATTAAAAAAACCTATAGAGGTCAAAACTATTTTTATAGAATTATAAAGATAGGCATGTGTCTGTGTGTGAAACAGACAAAAGTAATGACAAAAATATATTTTGAGATATTATATTAAAATTATTTATAATTACTTAAAGTTTATAATTACTTAAAATTATTTTAGACTAATTGGTTAGACTTTACAATTAGACTTTTATAGAATTATAAAGATAGGCATGTGCACTTTTGTCACAGACAAAAGTAAATTTTGAGATATACCACCGCCCAGCGGCGGTGGTATAACACTGATATATATATATATATATATATATATATATATATATATATATCAGTGTTATAAAAGTGATAACTGACATAAACTCTTCTGGTTTGTTCCTCAGTTGAGACTGATCCTAGATCTGATGGAGTGACGGTGGTGTCAGTGACTGAGGGAGATTCTGTTATTCTACACCCTGATACTGAAATACTGAAAGATGATGAGATACTGTGGAGGTTTAGAGAGAAATATGATATTGCTAAAATCAAAAAAGATGAAGACATCATCTCCACATTTGATGATATTGCTGATGGGATATTCAGACACAGACTGCATCTGAATCATCAGACTGGAAATCTCATTATCAGTGACATCACATCCAAAACCTCTGGACTTTATGAAGTTGATATCAAGAGGAGAAAACACATCATACAAAAGTCATTCAATGTGACTATTACCGGTGAGTCGCTTCAGTGTTTAAATGTAATAATGGTTGTATTCAAATCAGAAGAATTTACATACTTTGACGTTTATGCAAAAATATCAAGACAAAAAATCTGTATCTTAAACTGTTACTTTAGTGTTTATTAGTAACCAAAGTTCTCAAGACATTTGGTGCTAAATAAATTCTGTGTATAGGATTTATTATGGTTGTCTGTCTGTGAATGTTCTCATGAATTTTATTCTTGTATGTTTTATCCTGAGACAGACAAACAGGACATACTGTCAGTGAACGAGGGAGTTGATGTCACTCTAGGATCTGGTGTTACTGAACTACACAGAGATGATCGGGTACAATGGAGATTTGAGCATGAAGTTGTAGCAAAAGTCAATAAAACGGCTGGAATCGTCATCACATTTGATGATGTTCTTGATGGGAGATTCAGAGGCAGACTGCAGCTGGATAATCAAACTGGATCTCTGATCATCACACACACCAGAACCACAGACTCTGGACTCTATTACCTTGATATCACCAGCGACAGACACGTCATACTCAGGAAATTCGTTCTTTCTGTCTGTGGTGAGTACATCGAGTGTTAATCAAAAATGACATAAAAAATTGAATCACTATATTAAATTAATTTTAATGACTTTAAGAAAACACTGCAAAATGAAATATCAAGATAATTTTAAAGAAAATAAATTATATTATTACTAACTACTAAAACAACATATTAAAATTATTTAGATTTATTTAAATTATTGGTAAGATCCATTTCACTAATTATCACGTCATTGTGGTTTAAAGGGATAGTTCACCCAAAAATGAAAATTAAGTCATTAATTACTCGTACCAACCCCGTAAGACCTTCGTTCATCTTCGGAGCACAAATGAAGATATTTTTGATTAAATCTGAGAGCTGGATCAGTCCTACATAGGCTCCTAAAGGATTGAAACTTGACGGCCCAGAAAGTCAATGAAGAAAATGTTTAAATATTCCATGTGACTACAGCTCTACTATAAGTTTATCAAGCGATGAGAATACTTTTTGTGCGAAAAAAACAAACAACAAAAATAACTTCTAGTTGAGCCACTGTTGTGACACATCTGTTTAGCTGTGCGTTTACTGAATGAGCACTGAGCCACTGTTCGTCCGACTTCGTTTTATTCTAAATTGTTTTAATTTACTGTATTTTATTTTTCATTATTTCACATTTTTTATTCTAAACTGTTTTAATTATTCTGATTTCTTTTGATTATTTTAATTTCTTCCATGTAAAGCACTTTGAATTGCCACTGTGTGAAATGTGCTATATAAATAAACTTGAAAAACACAAGTAGCTCGGGGGGATAAATAAAGGCCTTCTGACGTGGTGATGCGTTTGTGTAAGAAACATATTCATGATTAATAATAATGATGTTAATCTTCATGTTATCTCAGAGCTATTTGAATATATTTTAACTAACAATCTGTTAAGCATTATATAATGTTTAATTATTTATTAATGAAGCTTTTTATCCTTGTAAAGCATCTATCTCAGGTTATATAGTGCTGATGTTTATAGATCAAACACATTCACACTAATGACCTTCTTTATCATTACAGTATCAGATCTTCACTGATGTTTATAATGTTTGATATATAAGACACATCACACTAATGACGTTCTCTCTATAACATTACAGATTCATGTCGGTTTCCAGATTATGTAACATTGATATGTCCTGCTTTTGGTGTTGCTGTTGGTATTCTGCTGGTGGCTTGTGGTGTGAGTCACTGTCGCCGCAGGAGGTTTAAACAAGTTCCTCGCAGAGGTAAGTATCACACACAGTTCATATAATATAAAAACATAACAGTCTGATTCCCTTTAAAGGTAGGGTTAGTCGCTTTTGAAATATGCTGTTTGGATGTTAGTCGGTCCGACACCATAACAAACGTTTAGCCAATCAGCATTAGGGCCGTATGATTGCCGTATGATTTTAATTACTATGGTGTAATTACTGTACGTAAATCTTTTGTGCTTCCTTGTCATTCGTTCAACATCTGCACTTTATTTTTCGTGATGAATATCCTGTTACGCTTCTGCTTGTATAAATAAGTATCTTCTCTTGGATTATGTGCGTAATGGAGGCCATCTAGTGAGAGTCGCCTGTGTCAACCGCGTTATTGTTAGTGTGAGGGCTGCACGAATAATCACAATGAAAACACTCGATTTGACAAAGGCTGATTATTTTATGTGCATTTTTTCAGTGCAGCAGCTGATCAGTAGTAGATCCTGCATCTGCACCACATATGTATCTGAACACCAGAGGGTGCTCACACACACAGACACCTGAGTTCAGATGCAAAAGCCTCTAAATGCCATTTGAAATTTTCTTCTTTAATGATAATTTTTATCAAACTTGTATATTTAAGTTCAGCAATTTCACTTAAATAACAATTAATAGGTAATCATCATTGCCATTTAAGTGAAATTACTGAACTTAAATATACAAGCTTGATAAATCATCATTAAAGAAGAAAATTTCAAATGGCATTTAGAGGCTTTTGCATCTGAACTCTTCATATATATATATAAATATATATATATAAAAATCGGAACACCAGAGGGTGTTTTACACACATATATACACACACATACATATATACACACCATACATTTGAACACCAGAGGGCGCTCTCACACACACACACACCAAATATCTCTGCAACGAAAGTTCAATAAACAGTAACTGAATAAACAGAAGATTGAAATGCTTTGATTAAACATGATTAATAAACACACGACTTCCGTATTCTGTGTAAGAACGAAGTACATAATTTCACAGAAAGTTATTAAGTGAATTTGGAGTAAAGGATGTTATTAAATGTTGTCTTTTGTTGGACAAGAAGTTCAGAAATGGTTCAGAAATGCTTCTCATATTTGGACAGATATGTTGCTTTTTCAAATGCATGTTATAAGTGACTCAAACTCACAGTGCTTTTAGATGGAGCAGCGTTTACAGAGCCGTACATCAATGACAAGCTGCGCATAACAAATTAATCACAGCCTTTGCGATTTCATAATCGTGTTAAGCCAAAAACGGTTTCAGTGCGATTACATGGAAATTGCAATTAATCGTGCAGCACTCGACTCGCTTGCAGGCGATCGTGGTTCGAGATTGGATTGTGAGTTTTAGAGGCGGAGCGATGATGATGAGGTGTGTTTGTTTGGATTGATTTTAAACATAAGCATTGGCCAACAGCATATTTCAAAAAAACCCTTCCCCATCTTGACAATAACAGATGAATGGCAGATACTGACCTACTGTGAACTGCATCTGTGTCTGTAACTCAAACACAGTTATTGCAGATATTATAGTGTTTGATCTCTGATGCATGTTTGTGTCTGTTTATGACGTGCCTTCATCAAAATTATGGTATTACAGATATATAATTTTAAACAGAATTACAAAAGAAACACAATTAATACAGAAATATTTAATTCAGCACTGATCTTGTGCTTTTTAGCTTTAGACTAAAGAACAAACATCATTCTGATGGAGAGAGACCCTCCAGAATCAACGTTCCCCACCTCTGCTTTACAGAGAAGCTTAACAAATACGCCTACTATTTTCTACGGGTGTTTTCGCACATGAGCGTTTGTTTCAGGAACCTGGTGTGTTTTCTCCCTTGGTTCGGTTGGTTTAGGCGTGTGTGAACACAGCAAACGTGCTCAGATCAGAACCAAAACAATCGCTCCGAGACTCTCGGGACGTTCGCTTGAAGTGTAAAAGTAATGTGACCTAATGGATCAAGAACCAAATGGTATTGTAATTCATACTGGTTAATTGTGCTCTATAAATAGCAGAAGTGTCTGATTCTGTGAGTGAGCACATTAGTTATCACAACTGAAAACCAAAAGAGCATTTCTTCATCTTAAAGATGTTGTGTGATTGAGCTTCTCAATGCTAGATGCTGTCCTGAAGAAGCCTTGATTCCTGCTTTATAACTTTCATATAGTGTTTGTGTGAGTCTTTACACAGTTAACCTCTAGACAGCGCTGCGAGATCCAGAGGGAGCGCGTTTGATTTACTGCACTATTAAATAAAGTATTTAACAGCAGGAATGACGGCTACATTCATATAGGCCTAGTGTGTGTGTATGTGTGTGTGTCAACATTTAAAGAAAGCCACAATAAGCTTGTGGAGTGAACTTATCAATCATCTTGATGATGATGCGGAGGAAATGCTGACCAATAAGAGGACAGTCGTACTCACATGTGACATTTTGGTACACTTTGAAATGTTGCCTTGTGAAAGCGAACCGGACCAAGAAGAAAATGCAAAAGTCCCTGTTTCAGAACAAAACAAATAATGTTCAGGTGTGAAAACGCCTCAGACACACTGACCTTCATTCAGATATGAACCTATCTGAGAACATGTATGTTGCTGTGGAAAATAAGATACTGAAATATAAAAGAAAGACATTTACTACTTTTAACGAAAGATATTTTAATACACGTAAAAATGGCAAGTATCACCTAGAGACTATAGCAAGAGGAACATCTCTATTTTGCTAAATTTGCATTTAATTGTTTGTGTGATTTATTTTTCATATCAGTCATAAAAAGAAGCAGCATATAGATGGATCCATTACAAGGATGAGGTAAGATTACAATAGCGTTTCACTGTGGAAATCTCTGATTACACATTTCTCTGATTTCACTTTTATGAAAAAAAAAAAAACATTTTTAAACATTTTAAATAATCCTGTTGACTGATCGATTACATCTGTAATTTTAAATCAGTGTTCATTTCATTCTCTTCACATTCTGTGATTAGTTCTGTTCTTACAGGTGAAATATGGAGGTCACATGATCTGACAGGATCCTTCGAGATCAGAGTTAACACAGTATTTCCAATTTTAATTAAATAAAATTGTTGGTTTGGTTGTTGGTTTGTAATATTATGATCTAAGAGTCATGAAATGTTGTGTGAAGAAAGTTACTGCAGAGATACTGATATATCCTCAGCTTATAAACCTAAGTACATTTAGCAGCACGCACTTTTATTCAGAGAAGTTGTTATAGTAAGTGCCTTTGGTGTTTATTTTGATTAAAATTACGAGGGTGAATGAATTAAAAAAATATGCACATGGATAAATCATTGCAATCACTGCAATATTCTAAAAAAAAAAATCCTAAATGTCCATTTTGATTTCATGGTGACAAAAGTAAAAAAAAAAAAAATACTTTTTTACTGGAATATTGTAAAACTTGTATTGCAGGTTCCACAAAAAAGGCTATAGTCTAGTCCAAGGCGGCTAACGTGTGTTTGACATGTTTTAACTTGCACTAACAAATCAAAAATTAAAATATATACGTGCCATTGTTTTATCTCAAGATTCACATCAGTAATGTTTTCTCTTAGGAATATTTATGTCATAAAGCTCAGTCAAGAGCGATCACGAATCTTTGATGTTATGAGATCATGCTGTTAGAGACATGTATGTATTTAATGCACAAAAATATATTTAATTCCCAAATTCCTGGAAAAGAACTACACTTCCCATAATCCTGAAGAAAAGGGTGGGAAAGCAGAATCATGGCAAATGTTGTTTTCAATTCCTAAAAAAAAAAAGTATGTCTTTGCCTTTTTTCCTAATTTGCATAAAGTTTTTGCTTCGAAACAAAGTTTGTATTCAGTTATAGTGTGATTATGACTTACCCATTGTTTTGAATCATATTCTGTATCGTTTTTAAATTGTTTAACTCTTTTAACAGATAACTGTTGTAATTCCCCTTGCTTTTATTTTGTGATTGAAAGCATTTTGAATTGCTATAGAGTATGAAATGTTCTATATAAATTCACTTGCCTTGCCTAAATGCAAATTTTTTTTTTTAATCCACAAAATTAGTCAAATGGGAAGTTATTTTGAAATGTATTTTATCTTGCAAATTACCAAAAATCAAAATAAAGCTCTATAAACACTTATTTAATGTCATCAATTTTGTGTCATCAGGTAATCAAAATTTCAACACACACTTCACACAATGTTATGCAAGTGGTCAAGGGCAAAGACTGCAAGTTTGGGTTTGTGGGTATTTAGAAAGGCTCTGCATCTTGTGTGTGTGTGTGTGTGTCTGCCGCTGAACAATTGTTACAGTAAATGAATAGTTTTTTCATACAATTTTAGTTTTGTCCTCATTTACTCACCGTCAAGTTGTTTCAAACCTGTATGAATTTCCTTCTTCTGTTGGACACAAACGTTGATATGTATAAACTTGGACTCCCGTAGAGTAGCACTAATGGGTAAAACTGGAAGTCAATGGGGTCCGTTAACATTCTACAAAATATCGTATTTTTGTATTCAAGCTGAACCATCTCATCCTCATCTTATAGTAATTTTGGTATTAACTTGATTCCAGGTTAGATTGCATATATTCCAATAATCGATTCTGAACTAAAAAATATTGTTGGTTTAACTTAAAAAAAAATGAAATAACCTGGTTGGCTTAAATTTTTAAGTTGATTGAAATGGAAAAATTAAGTCAATACAATGAAGGAGATTTAATCATCAGAAACTCAAAATATTATGTTATCTCAGCCACATAAATTATTTAACTTGATTTGACAAAAGAAGAATTGTTGTGATTACAAACCATGAATATATATATATATATTTACAGTGTAATATTTCCTATTTTTGTTGAGTAAGAGATCCTGTGTGATTACGACTTTTTTCAGTTGAATTGTGAAAATTACTAAAGTTGAAGTTTACTAAAAATGTAGGTGTAAATGTCGTTCTGTAGGCCTAATGCAAAAATTTACAAAAAAGTACAAATATATTGATAGTACTAATTATCTTACACGTCAGTCAGATTGTGCAAGATAATAAAAAAATATATAACCTAATTCCTGTCTAGAATAACATGTCGCACTTTAGTAGTTATAGAGGGCCCCATGTGTCAAAATGATTTATGGCTTTTTGATTGACAGGTGGGCGGGGCTGACCTTTGACCTTCCGGATGCCATCTTTGAAGTGGTCATAAAGCTTTGACCTTTGACATACCGTGTCTGGGATATCGATTAACCTTTGACCTACCGATCAATCAAATGGACAGGTGGTGTTGACCGTTGACCTTTTGCGTTCCATCTCTGGAATATCGATTAACCTATGACCTTTCTAATCCAAAAAACATGTGTGTGTGAACATGTGTGGTTTTGACCGGATGACCTTTTTTAATCCAAAAAACATGTGTGTGAACATGTATGGTTTTGTCCTCTTAGTGACCCCAGGAAGCGATCGATCAAAATGGACAGGTTGACCCCGGTTGACTGGTTTTATCATTGATGTAGCCCCCTCCCATACCAGAAAAGTCGTCTATAAAATGGGTGGTCTCTGTTCTACAGAATTCACAGAGGGAAACATGAGTTACATGAGTATGGACGCTTTATCCTTACCTAAAACCCCCGAGATCGATCTAAGTAGCATGATGATGGATAATTTTCTAATATAGCCCGTATCACAATAGGATCTGTAAAATAAAAGCGGCTTACTTGAGTGCTGATGATTCTCTCACAGTCCTTCGGCCCTGTGACAGTCGGGGTGTGAGATGGCTGAAACATTCCTTCGCCCAGAGAAAAATCTTACACGAGCTAAAAAATGAAACCGTATATTATAGATTATAAGGAAAAAACATTTAGATTTAAATCTGGAAAAGCATCTTCCTTTATTTTCATCAAGATGTGAAAAACCTCTCATCAACAGCAGCATCTGTGTTTTTCTGTCTGTGTGTGTCTGTAACAGCATTACATTTCCGCATCCTGTGCTGAAACAGTTAGAATAAAGTTCAAACTTTTCCTCACTATCTAAAGTTAAAACCATGGTTCATTTAAAAAGAATATCAATAAAATGCTTTATCATTCATTGTAAAATAATACATGTTTTATAGATTATAAGTTGACTAAGAGTCTATCAAAAATAAAACATGCATGGTGGAGTGGTGTGTGTGTGTGTGTGTGTGTGTGTGTGTGTGTGTGTCTCTGTGTAATAAATGGCAATAAATTACTTTAGACCTCTCTGAATCCTCTAAGTCAGAGGGACCCTCTCATACTTATTTTCTCTGTGTGTGTGTGTTACATTATACCCCTTCAAGTGAGGACGATATATTTCACACTAAACATTAAGCTCTATATAAATGAAAATAGTTATAAATTTACATCTAGTAATTTACAAAATTATTATTATTTAACACTAACTAGAGTTGAAAAACCTTGATCTTCAAAAGTATATAAATGAAATGGTAATAAATGTGCAATTATTAATTTACAAATATAACATTTCACACTAACTGAGTTGAAATTGAACAACATTGTTCATTTAAAAGTATATCAATTAAATGCTTTTATCTCTCATTTCAAAAATAAGACTAAGATCTTAAGACTAAGATCTCCCACAAGTGATCCTCTCTCCAGCTTTACAGGCATGCATTGTGTGTGTGTCGGTTCAGCGGAGACATTCCATATGTTTGATTAGTGTTAATCTTACTTCATAGTATAATCATTAAAAGTTTAAATGATATCTTTTAAAAATACCAGATGTTTTAAAATAAATTAAATTAATTCATAAAACAAATATGCTACATCAGCGGTCTATGGAAAAACTTGACTATATTTTTATTTATCAGGGTGCATGTAAAAATTCGATCTCTCACAAGTCATCTCACACATTCTGTGAAATGTTCAATAATTCCTTAAGTAGTATCTCTGCGAAAATCACCACATAGGTCTATCTTTAGTGCGAGAGCACCAATGAAGACATTTTAGAAACTGTGATGCCAAAGGCCGGCCACCCATTAGCTTCAGGATAGTGACAGAGCAGATGAGTCTCTGTGCATCGCCGAGTCAAAGTTTTGTTCGTACTAGAATTATTTCGAATCATAATCGTAAAAGTTTCAAGCTTTTAAAATGAAAATATTGTTTAAATTAAATCTTTATAGTATTAATTCATTCATATCTTCTATTTCTTTTAAAGATTACTCTAATGATTTTGTTTAATGCCGACCTAAAAGTATTTTTATTAATATAGCCATAACAATTTTTGTACTGTAACTGCGTATTCTATACCATACACCTAAAACTCTACCGTCAGAGAAAACTGGATTTTTACATTTTCAATAAATAATTGAATATAATTTATAATAAAGCTGTTTTGCACTCACAAAGCATAAAATCTCTATTTTTAAATCAAATGATTATAAATTAAATGATATATAACTCTATAATGAATAATAACACATATGTTACTAAAATGTATTTGTACAAATTAAACATAGTTTTATCTAAAGAATATATCAATTACATGTATAATTACAAAAAACTCATTCTATGCAAACTAGATCTAGGCAATGATAAAGACTATGCAAAAAGCAAATAGTTTAAGCTGTCATAAACAAAGACCTCTCATATCCGTTAGTGATAGGGTGAGATGAAGGTTCAGACCCTCGGAGGAGTTACAGGCCAGATGAGCCACTGGGCCACAATTATGTCATGTTATTCTAAATTTTTATTCTAAATTCACTTAAAACCATAATCTTAAAAGTTTCAATTAGATCTTTTAAAATTAAAAGACTGTTTAAATTTTTTATTGAAGTCATCATCTGTTTATCTTACAAGACTTCTGTATGATATAAATGGGTTTCATAAATTTAACCAAAGCTATTATTTATACTAAAATGTAAGAAAAATTAATTATTTCTACTTATTTCTACTAAATATTTCAAACATTATTTTTGTTCATGCCACATGAAACAAGTTGTCAAAGTTTGTTTTTGTTGTTTTAAAAGAAATCACACGACTCTACGTTGCACTTATTTAGATTAAGCTGTATCATTTAGAAAATCACCACACATTTTCAGAGGCGCAGTGTTGTCCATGATGCTCCATAAGTAAAGTTGGTCTTGACCGAATATTTAATTTACACATCTTAATTCAAAGCATGATCTTACTTTTTCTACGGTAGCTATGACCATTTGTACGTATAAGATATATCATTTTTACTTTTCTTGTATCTCCCAAACTATCCTTATTCATTGTGGAAAAAGACACAAGTGAAACCCTTCACTGAGAATATACTATCGGTTATCTACACAAAATATATGTAGAATTTTCAAATGGCAGCTTTTTGGTGTTGACGACATGAACAGAGTTTGTGGAGAGCCGATGATTCTATAGCAGAAACATGCCC